AGGTCAGCAGCCTCATGTTTATTCAGAATCCTCCATGCTGAGCTTTACTAAAACTCCTCCAAACCCCAGTGTAGAGGTGCAGTCAGTGGGGTGTGTGTGTGTGTGTGTGTGTGTGTGTGTGTGTGTGTGTGTGTGTGTGTGTGTGTGTGTGTGTGTGTGTGTTGAGGGAACACTGGAGACTCTTTGTGGGCTGAATTTACTACTCTGCTGTAAATCTCAGCATTCAAAAAGAAAACCAGCAAGAGTTTGAGGAGTAAAGCGGCTAAAAGGCGAGAAAGAGACAAAGAGTTTAGCCCTGATTGTAAATATTATCCTGAAAGACTTCAATAAGCCTCCAGTGCCTAAAAGTCCCCAAAGCATTAAACCTCCAGCAGGTGAAGCAGTATTAGGTAAACAAGCTCACTGGCGAGCTGCGCAGGATTTTTGTTATATATGAAACAACACTGTGTTCAACATCACAGATGATTTAATCAGGTCCCGCTATCACCAAGGCTGAGTATGGGCTCTGATTGAGGGATGTAGGCTGATTAGCCCAACATGACCCTCCTGGTCTAGTAACTCATCTATTAGTCTGGGGGGTAAGTCATATATGGCACTAAGGCTGCTGGTTGCCACCATACTATGGAGAAATTGCAGGCATGCCACATGGAACTACTGGTGGACCTTGATGAGAGGGAAGTCAAGAATCGTATGTAGTGCTGTGCTGGCCACAGATCTGTTTCTCCAGCTTTCAACTTCAGTTAGAGGCTCTAATCAGACCTCCTGGTCTTTTTGATGACTCCATTGACATGCTCATCTGAAAGTTCCTTCTTACTCATATGTCTGGGATTGCTGGAAGTTCCTTCTCACCCATGTGTCTGGGATTGTCGGAAGTTCCTTCTCACCCATGTGTCTGGGATTGTCGGAAGTTCCTTCTCACCCATGTGTCTGGGATTGTCTGGGACTGTCGGAAGTTCCTTCTAACCCATGTGTCTGGGATTTTCAGAAGTTCCTTCTAACCCATGTGTCTGGGATTGTCTGGGATTGTCAGAAGTTCCTTCTCACCCATGTGTCTGGGATTGTCGGAAGTTCCTTCTCACCCATGTGTCTTGAATTGTCGGAAGTTCCTTCTCACCCATGTGTCTGGGATTGTCGGAAGTTCCTTCTCACCCATGTGTCTGGGATTGTCGGAAGTTCCTTCTCACCCATGTGTCTGGGATTGTCTGGGACTGTCGGAAGTTCCTTCTAACCCATGTGTCTGGGATTTTCAGAAGTTCCTTCTAACCCATGTGTCTGGGATTGTCTGGGATTGTCAGAAGTTCCTTCTCACCCATGTGTCTTGAATTGTCGGAAGTTCCTTCTCACCCATGTGTCTGGGATTGTCAGAAGTTCCTTCTCACCCATGTGTCTGGGATTGTCTGGGATTGTCAGAAGTTCCTTCTCACCCATGTGTCTGGGATTGTCGGAAGTTCCTTCTCACCCATGTGTCTGGGATTGTCAGGATTTTCTTCTCACCCATGTGTCTTGAATTGTCGGAAGTTCCTTCTCACCCATGTGTCTGGGATTGTCTGGGATTGTCGGAAGTTCCTTCTAACCCATGTGTCTGGGATTGTCAGGATTTTCTTCTCACCCATGTGTCTTGAATTGTCGGAAGTTCCTTCTCACCCATGTGTCTAGGATTGTCTGGGATTGTCGGAAGTTCCTTCTAACCCATGTGTCTGGGATTGTCTGGGATTGTCGGAAGTTCCTTTTAACCCATGTGTCTGGGATTGTCGGAAATTCCTTCTAATCCGTGTGTCTAGGATGGTCGGAAGTTCCTTCTTACCCATATGTCTGAGATTGCTGGAAGTTCCTTCTTACCTATATGTCTGGGATGTCTGGAATTGCAATGGACGCATGGGCATTAAGGTGCAAATGCAGTTGTTTTGTGTCTTATGTTGGCATGTTCAGATCTGAGAACTGCCATCTGAGGGCAGACCCCTCCGAAAGCAGGCAGAGTATTTACAAACTAAGCTAATTCAAACAGTTTTAAAGACTGTTGGGTCTAATGGCAGAAGTGTCTATCATCTTTCAAGTGGTTGCTCAGGGCCAAGGGGTTTTGCCTGAAGGACAACCTATTTTGCATTATCAAGGTCTTGCGGCAATGCTTTTGAGTCTTGGACATATAGAAAAAGCCAGTGTTGGGAGCAACTTGTAACATGATGATATATATAGAAGGACGCTCAGCACAGAGTTTGTGGAGGGACCACTATCCAAATATAGCTTTGAGACATTTCCTTCCAGATATCAGGGGCCACCATGTGCTGGTTCATACAGGCAGTATAGTAGTGGTTGGTCGAAGGTCATGTGTCCTCTCCAGACTGGCACACTAGACTCTTCTCTGGGCCCAAAGGAAGCTGCTCTCAGTCCTATCAGTTTATATAACTGGGCAGTTAAATCAGGGAGCAGATAAGAGGTCTTCTAGAGCAGTGGTTCCCAACCTTTTTCTCTGGGGCCCCCCCCATGAACATATACAAACATTGGAGCCCCCCCACCATATAAATATATATATATAAAACTGTATGCGTGTGTTTATGTGTATTTAGATAGGCTTTGTCATACTGTCTAATTTTTTTCTTCGCCTCTGAAGAATCATTACATTGACGTTTGTCTGCCATTTTTGTTTTGATTTTGCCTTTACGAGAAGTTGGACAAGCACATTGCGCAAGTGAGCAAAATGTAAAAAATTATTTAGAGTTATTTATTTTAATTATTTTTACTATTATGTTGGAATTTTAAGCATGTGTTTTGATTTTTTTTTTTTTTTGGTACTTAAAAATACATATATTCCTGAGAATTTTTTTTTATAAATATTTCCCAAATTATGTTTAACAGAACAAGGAATTTAACAGTATTTCCTCTAATATTTGTTTTTCTTCTAGGCTTATTTGTTTTATTTTAGCTAGAATAAAAGCAGGTTTGAATATTTTGAAACCTATTTTAAGATCAATATTATTAGCCCCCTTAAGCAATATATATTTTAGATTGTCTGCAGAAGAAACTACTGTTATACAATGACTTGCCTAATTACTCTAATTAAGCCTTTGAATTGCATTTAAATTTGAATGCTTATATTTTGAAAAACATCTAGTAAAATATTATGTGCTGTCATCATAGCAAAGATAAAAGAAATCAGTAATTAGAAATGAGATATCAAAACTATTATGTTCAGAAATAAGTAAAAAAAATAAAATAAAATAAAAAACTTCTTTCCATTAAACAGAAATTGGCCAGGAAAAGGGTTGCTAATATTCAGGAGGGCTAATAATTCTGACTTCAAGTGTATATATACAGTTACTTTCCACCCTGCAAAGGAAAGAGAAATAAATACAATAGAATAAAAATATAAAACAAACTGTGCTTTAAGCATCTCCACTGTAAGAAAAACACTTTAGCTACAGCATTCCTTCAGTCAAGAGCAGAGAAACATTTTCTCGTTATGTTTGATTAATGATAATAAAAACAGGCGGCAGCAGGAATATTTTGCACTGTCTCTTTAATGGTTTCTCTTTCACGTCTTTTGATCCTCAACTCGTTTGTTTATTACACAAATGAGGGTTAATATAAATAATCACTAAACACCGCGTTTTGACACCTATTTGACCATTAAAGCGCTCACGTTAAGATGACTAGATGTCTGCGCTCCTCTGCTCGTCTCAGTGTGCGAATGAGAGCGAATGCTGACCGGCCGCATGCTTCTGACTGCGTGTGCGTGTTGCACACACACATAAGCACGCGGTCTTTCGCAACACATACAACTGGAAAGGGGGCGGTATATGATGCATATAATTGTTTATCTTGATTAATGCTTTTTTATAATCGTTTGAAATCGAAATCGGATTTTGGATTAATTGCACAGCCCTGTATAATAGTGGAGCATTTTATGCCTTTTTCTACCTCAACACTTATCCTCTCCCGCGCCCCCCTTGTGAACTCTGGCGCCCCCCTTAGGGGGGCGCGGACCCCAGGTTGGGAACCACTGTTCTAGAGCTCCAACCATAGGAAAGCATATGCTGTAAGATGGAACCTTTTGACCTGGTTGGTAAAGTGCTGGAATTGTTTCGACAGAAATTTTCCACAGGACTTACTCTCTCCTCCTCAAGTATTGTGATAGCTATTTCTGCTACCATGTACCTTTAGATGGAGTTCTCTGAGGTAAGATCATTAGTTTGTCTTTCCTATGTGGTGCTTTAAAGAGTACTGACATGACACCTAACAATTGACCTGGAGGGCCTGTCTGCTGCTCATTTGAAGCCACTGAAGTTCCTGATTCTAAAAACATTTTCCTCCTAGCTGTCTCTTTAATGGAGGAGATCTTTATGCCTTAACAGTAGCTACATCATGCTTGTACTTTGCTACAGGTATTGCAGCCTAGATCTGGGTACATTTAAAAGCATTTCACTATTGTGGCATAACCCATCACCCTGTAGTCCTTCTATCCTAAGCTTAATATATAGAACTCATTTTAACATCTGAATAAATCAGAGTGTGGATGTATATTCATTGCTTTAACCTCAGCGCTGTAAGAGGGTAAGGGTAAATGTGAAGTGTCTGTAACTGGTCTCAGAGCTGCTGACCCTGCTGTAGGTCTGTGCTGTTTACTTCATCTCCATTTGAACATGTATTTGAGATACCGATGGTTTATGAGGGTCTTAGTAGATCAGATTGGTTCATGACAGTGTTTAATCCTCCGCTTTTCTCTCAGGTGTGCGTGAGCGGAGCTGCAGCTACTCTGGAGTGTTCCATGTGCAGGGTAAAGAGCGCTACAGCCTGACGTTTGATGACGCACAGAGACTGTGTGAGCGTTTGTCCACTACATTAGCCAATCTGACACAGGTGAAGACAGCCTTCAACAGTGGAATGGAGACCTGCAGGTCAGACATTCACCTCAACACAACATGAACCTACATTTACTAAACCACAGAGTTCAAACACTCTCTGTTCTGAAGTGTTTACAAAAGCCCTCATTGAGAACACACAATATGCATCAAAATACCATCCAATCCAATTTAAATTAAAGAATTTCTAAAATTTTGGAATTAATACAGGCCTGACGTCACCTCACACTGAATGTGTACTGTCTCTGCAGGTATGGCTGGATAAACAGCTCACAGCTGGTGATTCTCCGTAAAACACCAAATCTAAACTGTGCTCGCAACCAAACAGACGTCATCATAAAGACTTCAGACGGGAAAAAATATGACGCCTTATGTTATAATGATAAAGGTTTGACTCATGCAGTGTGCTGTATTTCCAGTCCACACATGATCAGCTGACTAACAAATATTACATTTCTAACAGACAAATCAAAGAAGAACTGTACAGAGGCGATTGACCCTGCAAAAGTGGACAGCAGTTCATCTTCAGAAGCCGCAGGTACGACAGAAACTACAGCTTTAACATCTGATGTAGAAGCTCTGCCTGCTTTAAAGCTGTGCTTCATCAGTGTGTGTAAACCTCATGACAATTCAGACATGTTTATATCACACCCTTACTTAATAAGTGATCCAGAACCGCAATTTTACATTGCTCAATTTTCTGAAAATGAGATTTATTCACTCTATGAAAGTGCACCTTTGGTAAAGCTGCTGTGGAACGATAACTATTGTGAAAAGCTATATACTACACAAGTTTCCAACTTTCTTCAAAATATCTTCTTTAGTCCTGAAACATGTATATTTTATGTGTGTGTGTGTGTGTGTGTGTGAATGTGTTTTAGTTTCTCCAGAGCGCATCACTCCACATTACTCTACAGAAGCAGACTCCTCCACAGCAGCAGGTTGGAAATACTCTTGTTTTTTTGTGAGACTTATTTGACATTTTGTAACAGGAGCTCTTTACTGTAGATGACTTCATTAATAACCCTCAGCATATATGAGTACTGACCCCTATTTTCTCTAAGATACTTTACAGTAATACACTCACTGGCCACTTTATTAGGTACACCTCAGTAGTATCGGGTCGGACCCCTTTTCGCCTTCAGATCTGTCTTAATCCTCGGTGTCAGAGACTCATCAAGCTACTGGAAATATTCCTCAGAGATTTTGCTCCATGATAGCATCACACAGTTGCTGCAGATTTGTCGGCTGCACATCCATGATGACAATCTCCCGTTCCACCACATCCCAAAGCTGCTCTATTGGATTGAGCTCTGGTGACTGTGGAGGCCATTTGAGTACAGTGAACTCATCGTCATGTTCAAGAAAGCAGTCTGAGATGATTGAGCTTTATGACATGCTGCGTTATCCTGCTGGAAGTAGCCATCAGAAGATGGAGACACTGTGCTCATAAAGGGATGGACATGGTCAGCAGCAATACTCAGGTAGGCTGTGGCGTTGATGCTCAATTGGTACTAATGGACCCAAAGAAAATCTCCCCCACACCATTACACATACATACTGTTGCCTTTTTATCAGTCTGGCCATTCTCCTCTGACCTCTGACCTCATCAACAAGGCATTTGCGCCCACAGAACTGCCGCTCACTGGATATTTCCTCTTTGTCGGAGCATTCTCTGTAAACCTTAGAGATGGTTGTGCGTGAAAATCCCAGTAGATCAGCAGTTTCTGAAATACCCAGAGCAGCCCGTCTGGCAGCAACAATCATGCCACGATCAAAGTCTCTTAAATCCCCTTTCTTCCCCATTCTGATGCTCGCTTTAACTGCAGCAGATCCTCTTGACCATGTCTACATGCAGAAATGCAGTGAGCTGCTGCCCTGTGATTGGCTGATTAGACATTAGTGTTAATAAGCAGTTGGACAGGTGTACCTAATAAAGTGGCCGGTGAGTGTATATGTGTGCTACATTAGTTCAGTCAGTACCAAAGACAAAACTGATGATCTCAGTCCAAATATTAATACACACAAATCAACATGTTGGGGGAAGATAATAAATAAAATGTTAATAAACAGGATAAACATATACATTTTATTAATAAAAAGAGGATGTGCTCATTTATGCTGAGCACTGTGTGTGTACAGTATGTGTATACTGTGTGTGACGTGTGACTGTGTTTTAGTTTCTCCAGAGCGCATCACTCCACATTACTCTACAGACGCAGATTCCTCCACATCAGCAGGTTGGAAATACTCTTTTTGCTTTTATATTTATTGAAAGGGGTAAAACAGGAGCCCTGTAATGTAAATGAGATCATCAATAATATTGATCAGTCCTGTTATATGCATGTGTACAGTGTTGATCATTAATGAGGACTGACCCGGCACAGATCTCTTGTTTACAGTCATATATCTGTGCAGATGCATTAGATTAGTACCAAAGACTCAACTCAGAAACAGAAACACTGAAGATCAGTCAACACATTACACACCTACACTGATATGACGAGGGAAAGTGTTTAGTAATGTATTATTATTAACAGTAAAATGTTAATAAACAGGAAATTGCAAGAGAAACAGTTCATGATTTTGTGGTTGCAATAACTGGTTTGAGTTTAAATGTTTAATCTTTCTAATCCTCAAGCTGTTCAGTGAGCGGTGACTCTTATTTTAATGAATATTACTGTTCAATAAACTGTTTAAATGCACTGAAATAAGTGCATTTTTAAAAGGGGAAGATGAGCACTGTGTGCGTGTGTGTATTTATATGTCTCTGTATGCATGTGTGTGTGTGTGTGTGTGTGTGTGTGTGTGTGTTTTAGTTTCTCCAGCCCGCTTCACTCCAGGCGGCTCTACAGGCGCAGATTCCTCCACATCAGCAGGTTGGAAATCCCTCTTTAAAAGTAAAATCATCCTGTGTTTGTGACTGCTGTTTGCTTTTAATAAGCTGACAGAATGATGAGAGTGTGGAGGAGCAAACACTGTTTTCAACATTCGCATCATTTTGGCATCTTGAACACCGCCGGACAGATTTCCAGAGCGATGCTACAGAAGAGGGCTCGGTTTGGTGGCATGAGCTCAACAGAAGACAGAAACTCCAGCAGGTCTGGGAAAAGTGAAAAGGGTGAACGACTTTCAGTTTTGGAGCGGGTAAAATGAGTCTTGAAGACGTCAGTAGTTTCTCAGAAATCATGTGTCTAAAGATGACGTTGACTGAAATGTTGACCAGACGTCAGTAATAACCAAAGTAAGCCAGAAACACACATACAACAGAACTAGTTAGATTAGAAATGAAGCAACTGAAATGATGCAGGGATAAGCTATTGAACTGATGAAGAAATGAAGGTGTAGAAGCACATGGAAAGTCCAGACAGCAGCTCGTCAGAGTTCTCTGCTTCAGCAACACCTACATCTGCAGATGAAGATCAGGGTGGACAGCCAGCATCACGGTGATCCAAACACACACAAGAAAACCATCAGCTGCGTTCAGAAAACCTGCAGAGTGAACAGCCGATCAGCTGAGCTCAATCCAGGAGAGAGGAAGAGCTGAAGAGTAGACCAGACCACAGATCTGGCCTGAGGTCTGGGGAAAAACTAAGCAAAGCAAAGCAAAGCAGCCGTCTATAGAGTGTTCAGTACATTTCAGCAGTGCTTCCATTGTTATTAATTATTTAATTCAGATTTTATTTCTATGTTTGGACTGTTTGGGTTTCATCAAAATGTGTCAGTTTCATGTCAACAGCTCCTTTATAAATATATTCACACATGCATATACACGCACAATATACAGCGGAGCTAATCATTCTTCAACTTCATTCAGCTCAGTCCCTTATTAATCAGGAGTCACCACAGTGGAATGAACCGCCAACTTATCCAGCACATGTTTTACGCAGGGGATGCCCTTCCAGCTGCAACCCAAACAATTAGTGAAAATGAAAGCCCTGTAGTTCTGCATGTACTCTGCTGACTCCCTGTGTGATCAGTCACTGTGCCAATCACAACTGTGTTCTTCCAGAATCTGCTCTGAACACGTCAGCAGCAGCAGCAGCAGCAGACGCAGAGAGAAACACAACTGAGGGAAACACGACACACACCAGTTCCCCACACAGCCACGAGGAGCCCAACGGGACACGCTCGACCCCTCAGACCTCCACAGAACTGCAGATCAGCACGTCTGCAGCGCATCAGGACACCACCGGCCCGGGCCGCAGGCAGAACACAGGTGACGGCTCTCTGATATCAGCTGAAGGTGGAGCAGACGAGCTCATTAATAATCCACCAGCAGTCCTGTTATATCTGCAAACTCACAGCTGATGCTTCTGCTCATGATAGTGTTAATAACTCATGTCTAATAGCTGATGTGTTTCCTCTTCTCCATGATGACAGCACTTAATATTAGACTAGATATTCTGCAAGACACTAGTGTTCAGCTTTAGTGCCATGTAAATGCTTCACTAGGGTAATTAGGGTAGGTGTATAGCAGTGGTTTGTTCTGTAGAATATTACATATGCATATTCATGTGTGTAATATATGTGACGTGTGAATGTGTTTCAGTTTCTCCAGAGCGCATCACTCCACACAGCCCTACAGAAGCAGCTTCCTCCACATCAGCAGGTTGGAAACACTCTTTAAAATAGGATTACTGTGGTTTTTCTGTGTGACTGCTGTTTGGTTTTAATAACCTGACAACTGTCGGGTCCAAGAACTAGTTTAGAGCTAGTCGTGTTCTCAAGATGCTCCTTTCCCTCTCTGTTTTCCCGACGCTTTCCTGTCTGTAATCTCCACTGTGCTATTATAATAAACAGGGAAAACTCCTAAAATAGTGATAAATAAAATAAATAACTCGACAGCTAAAAACAGAAACTTTTTTTTAAATTTGGAGCTTGAAAACAAATGAAAGGTCTCAGAGAGTCTGTTGCGGAGAGCAAATGCGTGAGGATTACGGCCAGCCAATGATAACATAATGACTTTTTCTGTAAATATATCGACATTTTGGTCTCTAAACCTGACTTTAATCTTAAAATTGAATGTTTATTTTCAACATTTCATTTAGTTAAAAAGAAGTTTTCCATAAAACACAACTTTATTCATGATATTGAATGAGTTTGTCAACATTTTAGAGCAAAGTTTTACCCTCTACATTTTTATTTTATAATTGTTCTTGTAATTTATCAAGTTTAACCTCTAATAATGACTTTATTCTCACGATGGTTTTATTTTTATTCTAATCCGCTAGTTCAGCTCGAGTGTGTGTGTATGTGTGTGTGTGTGTGTGTTTAGCAATGAGTGAGTTACTGCAATGATATCCAGCTGCAGGCCCGCAGAACCACACGTGTTTTAGGCACACACAATCTAGGACACACAATCTAGGCAAACCATTTATGGTTATGACGGATGTTAATGTTATTAACGTCTTTTTGAACATCGTCATCGATATATTTTGATATATGTGGTTAATAAATATTGTACACAATAAACAACAGTGTTTACTTTACTTTATTTCACAAATATTGCGATCAAAACGGCCGAATGGGGAGCAGTGTTTCCGATCGCCATTCAATATAATAGACTGAACAGTTTTTAATCAGTCATTATAGATGATCAGTCATTATCTGACAATGATATAGCAGATACTCGTTTGCTGGCCTTGCTGAACGATCTAATTTGGGCAGGTTTAGTTTATATAATGCATTAATTTTTGATGAAGGAAATAAAAGCAAGTTAATATAGGCAATAATATATTATATGTAATAAAAATATTTTTACAAGTAAGAAATGTATAACACTATATTAATATTTTACTCAAGCGATTTAATAGTGTTTATTTATTTGCATAACTTTCTAATAGTCTTTTAATTAATGATTTCCCACATTTAATACTGTAGTAATTTATAGTAAGCAAATAAAGCAAATAATAAAATAGGAACAAATTAACTATTAATAATAAAAAATAATAAGTAAATATATATATATATATATATATATATATATATATATATATATATATATATATATATATATATAACTAACAGCTGTGACAGTTTGGTAATAGATAGTTGTTTATATATAAACTTATTATAATCAGATAATCAGTATATATATATATATATATATATATATATATATATATATATATATATATATATATATATATAAAGTGACATTTTATAGTTTTATAGTTTGCTTTTTATATTTTACAACAAAGTGATTTTCACCAAGTATGATAATATTAAGATCTTGAATTAATTTGTTACACTTAATCCAACAATTAGACGGTCTATGATTTCTTTGTGTATGTGGACACATGAATAAGGTCATAAGTGTCTTTAACCAATTATTTTTATTTACATAATTTGAGTTCAGAAACTGCAGAGGTGTTAAAATCATCGTAACGATACAATAATAATAATAATGACTGAAATGGGAAACCATACTTGTGAAATTCAATAGGTGGCGACCATATATGTTTGCCTAAATCGTGTGTCCTAGATTGTGTGTGTCTAAAACGTGTGTGCTGCGGGCCTGCAGCTCTCCGTTACTGATCAGTGTTTCTACACAAACACACAGCGCCCCCTACTGGCCCACATCAGCGATACACCATTAAACATTTCAAACGTAGTGAGTGTGTGATGTACAAGTGTTTCTGATCAGCTTCATGTGTCATTAACTGAGTTTGAGCTCAGTCTGATCCTCCAGGGCTGCATGTAAACTCTCTCATGGACTTTTTAAATGGCATTTATGCAGTATAAGCAGTTTCGACATGAATATAGTAATGCTTTAACAGTTTTTTCTGAATTAAACTTGGAATATAATTAATGTAGAGCATGGTGCAAGCTGCTGTGGGGATAATTCATCAACAGTTTGTCCTGAGGATTATATTTAAGGCTGTGAAGTACCTCAGGTCTGTTTTACAAGCGGCAGACTCGCGCGGATTAATGTGCTTCAGATGTGCTGTTCATCAGCGTGTCACTTACATTTCACTTTCTTCATCCGTCAACAGCAGAAAGTCTTGACATTAGTTGGTGCTGGAACCTTCTGTTCTTCGTGCGTGTTGTGTTTCTGTTAGACCCGAACTGAGCTATACAGACGCCGCCGTGCGCATGCGCCACATTAAACAACGTAAGAGCGCATCATTATGAATACGCGTTTGTTTTCTCTAATATTTTCTAGGAAATCTAAAAGTTTGGTCAGTTTAATTAGTGTTAGATTGTAATGTACCATGATAGATTTGCATATAAAGGCTAATGTTGTATTTTTAAAGCCATTATTAACATGATTATTGTACAAAGAAACGATGTGATTTCTGTCCGCCTGCTCTGAATGGCAGGTGCTTCTTCTTCTTTAACAGACTGGCTGGTCATATTACTGACAATACTGGCAGTTCTTCTCATCTCACTCATCTGTTGTATCGTAGTATACAGGAAAAGGTATGCCTGTTTAACATGTCTTAAAATTAACAAACACAAGCCTCCCACAAGAAAAATACTATAGTAGTTTATTGTAAACCGTGTTCTGAACCACACTACAGTAAATTACTGGAATTAATCTGCTGTGGCCATTCTACAGTTGCTATGGTAACACAACAACTATAGCAATTATATTGCGATTCTACAGTTGCTATGGTAACACAACAACTAGCAATTTATCTGCTGTGATTCTACAGTTGCCATGGCAACACAACAGCTACAGTAATTCATCTGTTGTGGTGATTCTACAGTTGCTATGGTAACAACAACGACTATACCCAATGATCTGTTGTGGTGATTCTACAGTTGCTATGGTAACACAATGACTACAGTAATATAAACAAGTGAGCCAGTACTGTAGTTTTTACAGCTCTAGGGTATATTATACTACAGTACGTCACAGTTTACTGCAGTATAACCTATAGTATACTACAGTATTGATCACAGTTTATCAGTTGACTGTTATTAATACAACAGTGTGGCGGAGCATTCATAAACAGTGTTGTAATAATGCTGTATAATAAACTCTACAATAGTATGGTTGAAACACCCTGTAGTATTAACTACATTATAGTGGTTGTACTGGGCTGCCTGTGATGTGTATTCCTGGGAATGATGTGAGTCTTGAAGAGCTTTTAGACTAAACTAAACCAATGTTTGTTGTTTGAAATTAATGTAAATAATTAACTGAGTGTTTCACTCATACTCGTATGCAGGCTGTTTGGACAGAAGCAGACTCTGGTCATCAACAGCACTGTCGCAGCAGCAGAGAACGGATCAGCGGCTACACACACACAGGAGATGGTCACGCTGCTGAACACAGACACACTCTAGAACAGGGGAGCCTAGAAATCTAAGATCACTGAGAGCATCGAAGATAAATATACCAAACTGTCTTACATTAAAGCTGCCATGGGCGATTTCCTAATTTATTTGATAATAATTCAAAATAAATAGAAAACATGAATCGTATTAACTAATGCAGTACAACTTTTAAATGATAGCCAATCACATTTACCACACAGTGGAGTTCAGAAGTTCTGCCTTGGCCTTGATTCGCTCATTAAAGTCTCCGCATTGTCCTCAGTGTCCGTCTGGTGACAGCATGTACACTTAAAACTGAACCACAGCATTTACATTCTATTTCATTTCAGTTCGCTTTAGCTTAACAATAAAAACAAACAAATAAACAGATTTCGTTAAGTTTGAAATGAATGACAATACCCAAACCATCCTCATCATTCTCCCTCTCTTCTCAGATGGGATGGTGGGCCAAATCAAAGGTTACCATGTGTGTGTGGTAGAAACAAACCCTTCATAGAGAGATGGAGAATGTCAATGTGTGTGTAGAGAATTTCAGTGTGTGTACATATAATGTATGTGTGTGTGTCTGTGTGTATATAATGTCTAAACAGAATCCATGATTCCTTACAGAATGTGTGTGTGTACAGAATGTGTGTGTGTACAAAATGTGTGTGTATAGAATGTGTGTGTGCTCTGTCTACTGTTTTAGACACGCTGTTAAACACTTGTGTATTGTTGCTCTATTGATGATTTAATTGCTTCTCATCACTGTGGATATAGTGTCCGCTAAACGATTAAAGACATGCTCACGTGTGTCCTGATGATGTGTCTGTTGTCTGCTGTGTTTAATTGTGTTGCAGTGTTTGTGTGAAGGTTGTGAAATGGCCAGATTTAATCCAATGTTTGTATCTTTGTTTGTGTGGACATTGGTGACGCATAACTTGTTCTTGGATATGTTTGAAAATACGACCAGCACTAAATATCGTATAAAGCCCAGTTCAGTGCGGTGTGCTGCAGGGCTCGCTATCAGGACCATTGCCTTTGACATGATGATGCTCTAATTCTACATTTCCATGTTTTAAACTAATGTGATGAAGTAAGAGCCAGATAATAGCACACTCTCTGCTAGATCAATAAGCGAGACTGCAGTTAGTTATGAATCAACATTTATTAGTTATAATAACTGTATGTACACCAATGGTACAACACAAATTGATATGCATGAACACACGTTTATTTCACAGCTATGACACAGGAATCATTTATTCACCACATTCCTTTATAGTCTTCTCTCCCTTTGCATTAAAAAATCACAACACTAAACGGGTGAGGAGCAGAAGAGAGACGAGTTTACACCGTCAGAGATGTACACCATCGACTAGTGACGCTTCCAGATGAACGCGGTTAAGTAAGAATAATACACATGGGTTATCCTAATGATGCTGGACATTGTGCCTGTCTCTGTGTGTGCGAGATATACGGAGTGCAGACGTCAGACAGTGTGCTTTAGAGAGATGTTCCAGACGGTTGATGAACACATAACACAGAATCATAGAGAAGACTATCACGAGGTCTAGCAGAAAACATCCTCAAAAATATAGCGTGGGTATTTTGAGATGCCATATATAATATACAAATATCTTGCTTTTTCGAGTCGCATGTTAGATTAAAATTTTTAATTTCTGACATATAAATGCAGGACACACACACACACACACGCACGCACACATATATATGTATATATATATATATATAGATTTCTGTAGGGAAGAATAAAAACATTCCAGATCAGGATATGAGACTGCTGAAATGAGAGTTAAACTACGCTTCTAGACGTCTGACTAGAGTATTTAATGCAGCACGATGAGGGAATACAGCGCTACAGGATTACAAAAACACTTTCATTAAAACGCTCACATCAATTAAACACTATCTCCACGAGTCTACGACTGAACATATCATACTGATGTTACCCACGATCAGAGGCGCCGCTAGGAGTTCTGGGCTCCGTACAGTACATTTCACCCAGTCAGAATCTCTCGCTGGAAAATGCGGGATGGTAGATTTATTGGGGCCCTCGGGGGGGCGTCTGAGCCCCCGGTTTCCAGCACTAGCAGCGCCGCTGCCTTCAGTATATACACAAAGTGCAGGGAGGCACTTCAAAACGCATGCTTTACTTTAAAAACTGGTGCGAAACACTAATGTCCATGCAGCTAACAGTGAGATCAAACACGACGGAGGCTCAGGGGCCGACGCTGCACACGTCAGCCTAAATTCACATTACGGTGTTCATATGGCGCTTGTTTTCAAGATTACAACACTGTTTAGTTAGCGAACCGATTAGACACATTAGGGATCTAGAATCCATTTCTGGGATTAGCTGTGATTTCGAATGTGAATCTCTGATTGGCTTGGCGAGGTATGTGAACGCGTGTGATTGGTCGATCGGACAGTGATGATTTGCAGCATGACGGGGCTCAGAAACAGTCGTCTGGAGGAGATGAAAGAGGACGGACATCCAGAGGTAGCGTTTTGGATCAGCGCACATATAAAATCCTCTTTAAGATGATTCATCGTGATACCGCCAGAGATTCGAGCCTTGGCGAGTGTGTTTTTCTGAGGTAAACTCTTTTAAAAGGGATGCAAAAGTGCGATAAATGAAATAAAAAACAGCGTCAGCAGTAAAAGACACGAAGGCATCAGGTATTTAAAAACACTGGATTATAAAAACAGGTAAACATCGATCCTCTCCAGCATGCGCTTCACTCTGCAGCAGGAGTGCTCATGTCCCTGACGGATACACCGGGGTTATGGAGGAGCCTGAGTTACTTCTACATCTCATCAGCCTTGGGGAATGTTCTGGGCAGATGTGGGCTAGTTTAGAGATGGCTGTGTAAATCGGTTAATGAAGCCAAACCTGGTTTAGCGTATATAAATGAGCCGCGTCAGTTTGATAGATGCACTTCTGGAGCTCGTGGTTTGGTTGTGCAATATAAATATATATATATTTATGACTTGTGCTTTATTAGGAATGAAAGGTAAGGCTTGCATTGCATATTTCAGTACATCTGAAGGGCTCTGGTTAAACCTGAACTGTAAATATACTGGCCTGTGCTCTTGAGACGCACACACACGTGTGCCGTACGGTCGTCTGTGTCCTAGCAACACCCTATGAGGCTGATGAGAAACGCTGTGATTGGATAGAGAGGGTCTACGGTGAGCGAGGAGGTTGATACGGTGAGCTGCTACAGGCAGTGTGTGTCTGGAAAACACTCCTCAAACATGAAGGTGTTGAAGTGTACTGGCGTGGAGAATACTTTACACAAGCGTGTCAGCTTTTGGCCTCACATTCTCGTGTTACGCGTGTTTAGATTTAGTTAAAGAGGTTAGAAACGAACAGGAGTCATCTAGGAAAGCTGTTTGTGCCCTATGTGCATGGATGTAGGTTGGTTGTCTCTGCTTTTGGGTTGGGTCGGGTCGGGGGGGTTTAATCGTTTTTCCAGGGTTCTTCCTCAACGACTGTGATCTCCGCAGTCGAGCCGTTGGTGGCCGCCAAGGTTACCTGAAACATCACACACATCTGAGCACACGGGCCAGAAAACACACACACATGTCTGGAGCAAAGATTTCTGGGACTAGCTGATGTTCACTTTCTGCTAAATCTGCAGCCTCTAGTTCTAGATTAATAAGACGTGTCCTTGTGAACACTAGAAGAGTCATCACTGATACTAGTCTCCAAATGGAGCCCAGATTCTGATTGGTTGTTCAAGTATTTAGTTCTCTTTGCTAGTATAAATCATCCTGAAAGTTCCTCCTAATCCACTCCTTCATTTCTGCAATATAACATGGCAGTCAGTGCTACTGCTTAGAAATCTGTGCTCCAAAACTAAAGCTGTTCCATATAACTGTGATAAAAGCAGACAATCGAACACTCAACGACAAATACACACACTGTGATATGATAAAAAACTTGCATAAATGAATACAAACACAAGGTACAACCATCTTACAAGCATGTGTGAGTGGTTATGTGGCGGGGCCTCTACGGTGGATTGCAGTTTTAGATAACCTGGGTTAGTTTGGGTTAAGTTCAGATTCACATTCAGAGTGCGCAAACACAAGACAACAGCAGCAGGAGCAGAGATGACGAGAGAACCCAGAACATAAGCTAACCATCTCACAACATGAGCAAAACTGATGTCGACTGATAAGCCCACGCATAAAAATACCAGAGGAACTTACAGATCATACTGGAGTGTTTTTGATCTGCACTATAGTAAAGTACATTGATTTATCCAACGTGGAGATTCTACAGTTGCTATGGTAACACAACAACTATAGTAATTGATATATTGTGGCGATTCAACAGTTGCTATGGTAACACAACAACTGTAGAAACTGATATATTGTGGCAATTCTACAGTTGCTATGGTAACACAACTGTAGTAACTGATTTATTGTGGCGATTCTACAGTTGCTATGGTAACACAAAAACTGTAGTAACTGATATATTGTGGAGATTCTACAGTTGCTATGGTAACACAACAACTGTAGTAACTGATATATTGTGATGATTCTGCAGTTGCTATGGTAACACAACCACTGTAGTAACTGATATATTGTGGCGATTTTACAGTTACTATGGTAACACAACAACTGTGGCAACTGATATATTGTGGCGATTCTACAGTTGCTATGGTAACCCAACAACTGTAGTAACTGATATATTGTGGCGATTCTACAGTTTCTATGGTAACCCAACAACTGTAGTAACTGATATATTGTGGCGATTCTACAGTTGCTATGGTAACACAAAAACTGTAGTAACTAATATATTGTGGCGATTCTACAGTTGCTATGGTAACAACAGCTGTAGTAACTGATATATTGTGATGATTCTGCAGTTGCTATGGTAACACAACCACTGTAGTAACTGATATATTGTGGCGATTTTACAGTTGCTATGGTAACACAACAACTGTGGCAACTGATCTATTGTGGTGATTCTATAGTTGCTATTGTAACAAAACAACTGTGGTAACTGATCTATTGTGGTGATTCTACAGTTGCTATGGTAACACAACAACTATAGTAACTGATCTATTGTGGCGATTCCACAGTTGCTATGGTAACGCAACAATTGTGGTTAGTGATCTATTGTGGCGATTCTACAGTTACTATGGTAACATGACAAATAAACTAATACAATCAAATGACCCAATACTGTAGTTCTCTACAACTGTAGTGTATGTTTACTGTAGTAAAACTAAAGTATACTACAGTATTTAATACAGTGTATTGATTCACCGTGGATAACACTAGTGTGTGCTGGGGTGTTCAAGAGTTTTATATGCTAATAATAATCATAGGGTGGTTAATAAACACTACAGTATGTTAGTATGTATAGTTCATGGTATAAAAAAAACTTTGTTAGCAACATGCAATATGCTGTAATATTATTAAAATAAGCTCCAAGAAAAGAAGCAAGCATATGTTAATACACACACACACACACACACACACATCCAGCATACATGTGATGTACAGATATGCAGTCATGCAGAAGAGCGGTGCAGCGCATGCAGAGGTGTGTTATATGGATGTCTCTACGTCCGTAAGCGTGGCTTGTACCTTGCAATCATCTACTAAGCCTGTATTTTGAGCAGCAAAGACGCACTGGTTGGAGTTGTTTTCATGATGGTTTTTGAGGTCATCATAGTAGGACTGGGTCTTGGTCATCATCTCGATGTCGTCAGTCTTCCCGTGCTGGGCGTCCAGAGCGTCCAGCTCTGCCTTGGACAGGTGATAGACGATACCTGCGCCGTACGAGTCTCCCACCACATTCACTGAGGTACGGAAGCGGTCCCTGAGGAGACATCAGCACATGCTATCACAATAATACACTTTATTTATATTAGCATTACACTCAACTCAACTCAACTCAACTGTGGCTTCTGTCAGCTAGTGTATGGCTAGGGGACGGAGTATGAGTTAATCATGCTAGATGATCTGCAGATGGAGAATACTCACAGCAGCCAGTCCACCGCCACCAGCAGACTGATGTCCTGAGTGGGCAGACCCACCGCCGTCAGGATGAGCAGCATGGTGACCAGTCCAGCACTGGGAATACTAGCGGCTCCCACACTGGCGAGTGTTGCTGTAAGACTAGAAGAAGGATGAGAATACAAACACTTCAGAGCCTGTTCACACCACACATGATTTAGATTCTGCTTTTAATTGCGCATCATCTGGTGTCACCAGCAGGTGTCCTGTCACCAAGCTAACCAAAAGCGAGTGCTGAACATCATCAGCGTGCTCCTCCACAGTGGCGTCAGTTGAACTGTGCTTTAATTCTCACTGGATTCTGATTGGCTGTCTGTGTTTTTAAAGGTTGTAGATTACACGAACACGACAACTCAAACTAGATAAACTTCCAAAACTAGCATCGATGAGTGACGCTCAGCCCATGAATGGGGCTCAAAGCAGAGTGAGGCAGCAGAGCCCAGCGGATGCTGAAGTGATCAGCCCTGTCAGAGGCAGACCTGAGCAGCGTCTGGTGTCTCTGTAGCGTCTGACAGTGGGATGTTTATCGTCAGATACGCTCTGCACACACTTCAGGGAGAGCGAGAGAAACACTGAGACCATCTGCTGATCTTCCACAGGCAAAACTCCAACTGATTAGCAGGACCGGGGAGCGTCAGTCGCTGCTTCTCCTAAAATAAAGGCATCTTTGGCAAACATTTTCACTTGCAGAAATATCTAAATGTGGACAGTTCATCGTGATTATTTAAGTGCAGCTTGTGCCTGTCGATCAACAGGAGATTCACACACCGCCTGTCTCTCTCAGGAGGATGCTTCCATCACAGTATCAGTACACAGTACACAGTACGTAAAGCATCAGCACACAGTGCTTCAGTGTTAATAGCATTAGCCAATCAGCTGGCATCATATGGGTGGTGTCAAAAGGGGGCGGAGTGGAGTTGAGTAACTGAGGAAGAAGCTGTTAAGGCTCCACCCACATGAGAAAAGGGCGTGGCACAGTCGAGTAACTGAGACATAAACTGTACAAACTCCAACCACCTCTGGAAATGGGCGGAGCACAGCAGAGAAATTGAGGCACAAGCTGTAAAAACTCCACCCACATCTAGAAAGGGGCGGAGCACAGGAGATTAAACTAGGCAAAGCACCACCCACCTCTAAAAAGGTGCTGAAGTACAGGTGAGTACCTGAGGCAAAGCTCCACCCACCTCTGGAAAGGGGGTGGAGTACAGCGGATTAACTGAGGCAAAGCTCCACCCACCTCTGGAAAAGGGGTGGAGTACAGTGGATTAACTGAGGCAAAGCTCCACCCACCTCTGGAAAAGGGGTGGAGTAGAGTGGAATAACTGAGGCAAAGCTCCACCCACCTCAGGAAAGGGGGTGGAGTACAGTGGAATAACTGAGGCAAAGCTCCACCCACCTCTGAAAAGGGGGTAAGGTACAGCAGATTAACTGAGGCAAAGCTCCACCCACCTCTGGAAAAGGGGTGGAGTACAGTGGAATAACTGAGGCAAAGCTCCACCCACCTCAGGAAAGGGGGTGGAGTATAGTGGATTATCTAGGGCAAAGCACCACCCACCTCTGAAAAGGGGGTAAGGTACAGCAGATTAACTGAGGCAAAGCTCCACCCACCTCTGGAAAAGGGGTGGAGTACAGTGGAATAACTGAGGCAAAGCTCCACCCACCTCTGGAAAAGGGGTGGAGTACAGTGGAATAAATGAGGCAAAGCTCCACCCACCTCTGGAAAAGGGGTGGAGTAATGTGGAATAACTGAGGCAAAGCTCCACCCACCTCTGGAAAAGGGGTGGAGTACAGTGGAATAACTGAGGCAAAGCTCCACCCACCTCTGGAAAAGGGGTGGAGTACAGTGGAATAACTGAGGCAAAGCTCCACCGACCTCTGGAAAGGGGGTGGAGTACAGCGGATTAACTGAGGCAAAGCTCCACCCTCTTCACGAAAAGGGGTGGAGTACAGTGGAATAACTGTGACAAAGCTCCACCCACCTCAGGAAAGGGGGAGGAGTACAGTGGTTGGAATAGGCCATAAGTTGTGATGGCTCTGCCTACTTTTGAAACAGGGGCAGGGCACAGTGGAGTAACTAAGGCATAAGCTGTAAAGGCTCCACCCACCTCATTTGCATTTTAAGAGACACTGAAAAAAATAGTTTTGCTTTTATCCAAATTTTGTGTATCTACAGCATGGTAAAGTCACACACACACACACACACACACACACACACACACACACACACACACACACACACACACACACACACACACTGAAGACATCTTGTCAAGATGAGATGTCAACATTAACTGTGTTTTGTATCAAGTCTTACCTGACGGTGACGATCTGTCCAGGGTCTAGATCGATCCCGTTCATCTGTGCGATGAAAATGGCGGCGACCGCCTCATAGAGCGCCGTTCCGTCCATGTTGATGGTGGCTCCGACTGGAAGAACGAAGCGCGTGACTCTCTTATCAATGCCCAGGTTCTCCTCCAGACAGCGGAACGTCACGGGCAGAGTTCCAGCACTTAAAGGGTTAAAGAAAAATCAAGATCCCATAATGCAGAGCAGAAATACAAGAATAAAGACATCAGAGAGGCGGAGGGATATTCCTCCAGTGTGGACTATAACTGATGTGCTGTGCTCACAGACCTAGAAGCGGTTCCCAGAGCGGTGATCCAGGCCTGGAAGATGCCCATGAAGAAGGAGAAGGGGTTTTTCCTGACGATGGCGAAGTAGATGCAGGGCAGGAATATGGCTCCGTGGATGATCAGACCCACGATGACCGTGATCATGTACATGCCCAGCTGCCGCGCCACCACCTCCAGATCCTTGATGGAGATGATCTTCCCACAGATCAGGCAGGCGATGCCGAATGGAGAATACCTGCAAGACAAGTCTGAGTCTGAACACTCACCACACTAGCCGAGCTTCCACACACACAGATCCTAATGCACATGCTGGATTACTGCACTAAAACAAACGCTTGACGGAAACACCAACATCTGCAGCAATGTAGGAAATCTGCAATGAACAGAACCGATTATGAACAACTCTGTTTATAAGAGCTTTAAACACACACACCAACATCATTTATATCCTGTAACTGGGGCAGAATAGGTCACCTTCAGAAGCAGATCACAGTTTTCCTAATGAATCTAACTCTCATGTTTGTATGGAAACACAGCTACTGCCAATGCAAAGCCCGACTCCAGCACTGCAGGACTGACCACATGATCATGATGACCAGCTTCATGACGATCTCATTGAGGATGTTGAAGAAGTCGATCATCAGTCTCGCCTTCTCCCCCATCTTTCCCATACAAATACC